CATCAAAGCTCTTGCAGTGCAGCTGAAAAGGTATTACTTACATACCCAACTTTTTAGCATCTTAAATCAGACGCCTGTTGATGCAGATTTCTTTTGTTGATGCAAAGCTTTTGCAGAGTATGACCTATCCAAAATCTCCAATGCAGTGAGTAACATACAGAAAGACAGAAAACAAAAACTGTCTAGTCATGATAAACCACATAAATTCACCAGCACAAAGTTATAGTTGGGTCCCAGCAGTCATCATCACATATTTAATCAGAGGTTAGTACTGTCCTCTGGAATGCTGGAAAGGGTAAATTTCAAGATTTTTATAACTATACCCTTTGACATATACTAAGCTACTGTGAAACAATTCAAACAAATTGAACAGAAAACAAACAGAGCAGGTAACAGTTTTGGTTGTGTGACCTGCGCCAAAGATCTACCAGGTGATAAATGAAATTATACTGGTGTTGATGGTAAACCCCCCAGTGAATAATAATTAATGAAATAATTAATAACGTAAAGAATAAAAAAGTCAAGACCGGAAAATAGTATTCCAGACAAATTTGTTTTGGTATTAATCATCACAACATGTGACACTTAAGGTTGTCTTCAAGGATGGTTCGGTGTGATTCTAGCCTGTGCTCTGGTCAGTGTAGGTTTGCGAGGAGCTGCTAGCACAACCCAACTCTTCATACAAAAGTATTCATCCCTCTTCACAGAATAGACAAGAGAGTGTTTGATTGCTCTTCTGATAATGAGGTTATAGGCCATTTTAAAACTATTTGCCTAATATATTCCCTCTTTTGATAAATATTACCAAATTAATGAAAATTATACTATCACATAAATATGAAAATTATACTATCACATACACTTCCTTTCAATCTATGCATATTCCACCAACTGGTATATTTTCTTTGTCTATTTCACATCTTAATGCAAATTAATTAGAGAGAAATGCTAATAATTAATTTGAATGCCATTTAATTATCTTCAGGTTTTCAGACTGTCAAAAAAACAGCTTCCCTAACAGAACATACAAGTAACAAACCAAGGAAAACAAGGAGATAAGAGCAGAGCAAAAGACAGCATCAGAAAATCTTCCCACACTTTTAGTGTGTGGAAATACCCTTTTTCTGTCCCAACCAGTTAAACACTGAAAAGGAAAAAAAGATTGAACTGATTAGACATATTTTTCTCTAAGATGTCTGGTAACACTCTAAGGCTTAAAGCATACGCTTACAGTTACAAAGTTTTTACTTTCTTTAATTCATCTCCTTTTATAGAGAGTTTTATCTTTTCTAGTTCTAATACACAATCCCTAAGGGAGGATTGAAAAGAGTGATGGAAGAGAAAAAAAAAAAGAAAGCCTAGCAAAAAACAGGGAGGAAGTAGCACAATTTATTAGCTGGTGAAAGAAAAACAATCTATTCACCAAATGCACCACCATTTAACTGAAGACAGATAGTGAGAAGGTACAGCTATCCTCCAAAATCAAATATATGACAAAAAAATTAAAGGGTAGGGGGTAGGGATATATTTATTCTATGAGATATAACCTAGTGATTTCCCTGATTAAACATATGGTTCAGAATTGCTGAGCATCCACAAATGTATTTGTGGCCACAGGAGATAAAGATGTTCCACTCCTTTTATAACTCAGGCAGTAAATTACAATATTTACTTAGATTAACTCCTGTCAGCTTGCTAGATCAGTGATGTAGGCCCTCCCCAGCCCAAATTTCCACTGGTTTTCACATTGCTTCCTATACTTACTTCCTCTGGTGGCACCAGTTGTCTGCTTAAGGTAAACAAAATTTAAACATACTTTATGGATTGTGGAATGTAGTGTATTATATAGCTACCTAAAATAGCTTCCATGCCACAGGAAATGGTTCTGTATTAGGAGAACACATTACTGTGTTAATTCCTGCTTCTACCCTGGTTCTGCAGGGAAGCTGCATAACCGTGGTGAGGTGCACTGTGAGCCACAGCTGCAGAGCTGTGCTGTGCTGCCTGGTGGTGACCATGCACTCAGCACTTGAGTACACCTGCAGCCTGCATACTTCAGGAGAGAGCAGCATCACCTTCGTTATCTGGACATATCCCTGTGAGAGCAATAAATACATGGTGTCTGGGCTCCAAAGCCTATAGTGTTAATACAGTGTCACAAACCATATCCTTGATCATTTCTTCATCCTTCTCAGCACCAAGAGCACCACAGACTGAAGAGGCTGGATGGGTGCAGTGGGGGAGCAGGTTAGCACATAAACAGCTATTTTTATAAAGCTGGCTTGAGGAGAGTTGAATACCTCTCTGAAAAACTTTCCTGACACTGCATTCCACTGTCAACTACTGCAGCACAGAGGAGGATGTAATTGGGTCCTTCTCATAAGCCAAGCAGCTTCACTGTAGTCTGTATCTCTTGGAGCTCTTCTTGGAAAATGTTTTCTAGGACCTCACTTCTTCAGCAGTCAGGAGATTTCTTTTACTTTCCAGGCTAATTGCATTTCACAATGAGTTTATTCCTTTCTGCTTTTCTGAAATAGCTTCTTTCTTTCTGTGGTGTTTTTCCCTATGATGGTATAGGTACTATACCAATTTTGGACTATTACTGGACTAATAAGCATCTTCAATAAATGGATTTCCCCTGCAACACTGTAGCAAATACTCTATTCTAATTGAGGCACTTTGTTTCCTTTGTTCAGAAAAAGATGGCTATCTCATAAAGTAAAATATTAGATCAATCTATCATGACTGATTTTTAGTAAATTCATTTGCATTTTATCTAACTTTTCATTGATTTCCATGTATAAAAATGAAGTAGCAAAGTTTCAGATATTGACTTAATTTAAACTACCTTTAGAATAGCTTGCGGGGCTCTTAATGGTTAAACAACAGCAGGGGAAAATTGCAACTTCTGTATAACTAATCTAATGCAAAAAGCTGTACGGAAAAGATGAGTTCCTAGCTATGACTCTGTGTCAATTGATACACTTGTGTCTGTTTCTGGTGAGTTTCCCCCTCTGAAGAGGAGTTATTTTAAATCTCTTTCACACATGAATTTTTTTAACCAGCTTCAGCATGTATTCAGAACAAAGCAAACATCCCAAAAAGCATAATCAAGACACTACAAAATGATACAGAAGAAAGAATGATGCCATGGCACCCATATGCACTTGTTCTCTTTTCCCATCAGAAGAAAAGAGAGGGTTTTGAGCTAATAAGACTACAGAACATGCACAGCCAGTTATTAGTGGAACAAGAGTCAGCAGTGCAGTTATAAAGAAGACAAATGAGTGGCAAAAGAACCACTGAGGTCCTGTGAAATGCTCAGAGAGCCCTGTAAAATTCATCCTTTTAAATCTGTGTTTTGCAAAAAAGGGTATATTTCTGTGTTTCTCTAGAAACATCTAAAATCTAACATCTGAAAATTGCTGCTTGGGGACTTGTTTCCTAATAGGAACCATGTTAGTAGCTAGGAAGATGTTTCTTCTGAAATACTCCTGCTTTTCTGAGCTTGCCCTGCCCTGTTTCTGTGCTGGAGAAATATTCATGACTCATGGCAACCAACTGAGACAGCAAAGGACAGTAAGAAAAAAGAGGGAGTCTGGGGGCCAAATGTTACTTCACATACTGCCTGGAGCAGCTGGTTTGACACAGCTGATGCAGTGAAAATGACCAAGCAACCATTATGCATCTACTTTTCTATCAAGCTTTAACTGCTGAAAGCAGTACTTTTTATCTGAGGGATCTAATCCCTCCCACAGCCATCCCTCCAACAAACACAAATTTTCCATTACCATTAGTACACCAAAAGACCACCAGTCAGCACTCTGTGTATGTCCTCGTCGGTTGACCACCTCTGGGGCCATATACTCTATCGTCCCGCAGAATGAGTATGCTCTCTTGTCGTGGTCAATGGCTTCTTTACTCAGACCAAAATCTAAATAAATTGAAAGAAAAAAGACTTGTCAAGTCTATAACAATGATTATTTATGATTTTGCTCACTTAATCAATTTGAACAAAACACACCAACCAGCTGAGGAAGCACCCTTCTGTTCGCGTGCAAAATGGCTACAAGCACTTAAGTGCTGAAGCCCTGCTGACATGGAGTGTCTGGTTGGCATTTGTTAATACATCCTGAAAGTAGATATACCATTTTCTCTGTTCATAAAGAGGTTCTGGCCCAAAGCAGAAGAGAGAGTTTAAATAAGTAGAAATATACAGTTCAGGTTTGGTGAAGGCACTGCCAGTAAGGACTCTTGCTCAGATAACCAAAGTATTAGCAATAATAATCGCAGATGCCACCAGTGAAAAGGATGACTAGACAGCAACTCCAGGGCGGCAAAGGGCTGTCTTTCCAGGCATCCTCTGCTTGGAGTAGAGCAGTCATAATGGGAGCATCCTTTCATCCACAGTGGTAGGCAGCCAAGCCCACATGCTTCACATCAGTCAGGAGTACAATTTCACCAAGAAAATGCTATGTTCTCCATGCACTGTGCAGCATGGGGGTTTGAAAATTGCCAGAGATGCCCACCACGCAAACTCTTCTGGTTTATAGTTTTTGTAAGCAAACTCTTTCCAACCAAGAAACATGGAACATTCTGCAGAAAAAAGAATCAGTTTGTAGACATTAATTTTTCATTTTTCTGTGCCTCACATACCTGTTATCTTAATGTGACCCTCTTCATCAAGAAGAATGCTATAAAGCAAAAAAAAAAAAAAAAAACAACATTCATTCATTAGTCAGGCACAGAGGTCAGTTAACAAACATGAAGAAAAAAAATGTTTAAGCCAGACAAGGAGATATGGAAGACTCAAATAAAATATTTATGTAAACAAATTGTTAGTGGATTCTATGGCTCCAGAAAGAAAAATGAGCCTCAAAGGTCTGCCTAATCTCATGTCTGAAGCACACACAGCCTGCAGCAGTTGCATGAGGAGCCTCCTCCTTACTCCATAGGATGCTCAAGGTGAGCATGCAAACAGAGCTCAGAAAGAACACAGTGTTCAAAGCCAACAACTGCAGAGTGTATTCTTCCAGCAGGAGAAGGAGCTACAGGTTTTCTGCTCATCATAATAAACAGCAATCACACCAATAATCAGGGCTTGGACTCACTGGACCTAAAATTAACTCCACAGGTTCATGCTGAAGTAATAAAAGTGATCATAGAGCACAATGACTAGTCACAGCCTAAGCGCTTGGATCTCAGCCTCTGCTAATTTATTCTGTCCAAAATCACAAATGAAAATTCAGCCTGGAAGCCAAGTTCAAGTGTTCTCACGTTTGTCACCTGACAACGTATTTTATTCTCACAAAGGCACTCCAACATTTCTGTGTGAAAAATGACTGTAGTTCACAAAATTAGCAGTGCTAATTTTGTGGAAACAAGAAGGAACACTGAATCCGAAAAATAATGATTTTTGGTAAGTATATACTGACATAGTAATGAAAGTGGTGTTTCTTCAGTTCTAGTTACTTCTAATTCACTTTTCAAAATGGTCTAGCAAGGTGTCAGCTATTTTTATATTCCTCTTCTCTTAGAGAGTCACTTTAATCCAATTATTCAGGAAGAAAATAAGACAGAAGTGAACCAAATACAATGGGCTATACTTTTGTGAAAGGTTGTGTCTGTACTGAAACATAACTGAAAAAAGATAATCTTTGGTCATTCATTTATGTGTTTGGAACAAGCTGTTGTTGTGTGATTCATCGAACAAAGGCCAGAAGCTGAGTCCCTACTATGCGTTCAATAATTAAAGTTTTTTCTTCTCAATGAAGGCAACTTTACCTTTATTCTTTCTCCACAGTTTTCTTGAAGAGGAATAATTTTTAGGTACTAGCCTATAACAGGTATGTTTAAATGCATGTTTTTTGACTGCAACCCCTAAATCGTGCTTCAGAAGAGAACAGAATAAAACAGCTCCCATTGTGGAACTGAGCGTGAACTCCCCAGACTCGGATCTGGAAAAACAGCAAGGGGCAGTAGAGCTCAAAGAAATCATGCAAAATTTTGCCCCATGCCCAGGAAGCCCCAGTGAATAACAATGCAATTCAAAGGTTGTGGGAATTTTCCCAGAAACATCAATTTTATATTTCATAGATTTTATATTTCATAATTTCCAACTGAAAATCCATGCTGCTTCTGTACGTATACAACGTATGTTTCCCATACCTTCACCTTCACACTGATTTGTAGGTTCATACCTTACCCTCATTAAAGGGATGGAGGCAACACCAACACAGCTGTCAGACTGATAATACTATCTTAGTTGAGTTAGAAGCACATAACAGACTTTCTCACACTAAATGTTCAGCAAAATGAACAGCAAAATGAGCAGCAAAATGAACAGATCCTGGTTTCCAATGGATGTGTATTGCATTCTATATCCCCCAAAACTTGATCTACAGTTTCCTCCTCTGTCTCGTGTTCCCTAACCACCTTTATATAGTGCCCTCAGCTGCTGGTAGCTTCCTCTGGCCCCTGGCAGCACTCTTTGGACAGCTGAGTGCTTCCATATTTGCCATCTGCCACCACCAATAATGTTACTAACCAAAGTTACTAACCAAAGATTATATTTGATGGAAAAAGAAAATAATATGCTAAAAGTGAGGAAAAAAAAGACAACTGTTGCTCTGAATTATCTTAAGAATGACATTAAGAAGCCAAGAACAATGTACTTGCTTCTAAACATCTAAATTACAACAACAGGTTTTTTTCCTTTGACTGTAGAAGCAAACTTATTACCTGATCATACTCTATGTCATCTCTTTTTATCTTTATCACTTCACAGTTCCCTTTTATCCCAATATGTCCATATTAGAAATTCTATTGTGACAATCACAATTACTTTAGCTACAGTTTGCAGGATAAGATATCTGCCATAAACTAGTATTATTCTGTGGAAGGGAAAAAACCCCAGAAGTTGAAAATGTGATTCAAGCTTGAGAATAATATTTCCTCTAAATTAATGTTTTAAAATTATAAAAAACATAAAAAGTGGACTACTTTTAAATGCTAAACTAGGCTATAATTCCATTGAGTGATAACCTTTCACTATGAGATTTTTCCATTTTATTTGTTCAGTTTAAGGTTTGAATGCTTTTACAGGATACTGTCATTGCTGACCCGCTCTTCAAAACAGTAACAACTGTTATTTGGTGAAAAATATACCAATATCATAAATAAGTTAACTATACAAAGGCTTGGAACAAAGAATTCCACAAAATAAGGCTATTTCTTAAAGAAGAGGAAACTGAGGGGAGAATTCATTGCAGTCTACAGCTTCCTTACGAGGGGAAGTGGAGGGGCAGGTACCGATCTCTTCCCTCTACTGACAGGACCTGAGGTACAGGCTGGATATCAGAAAAATGTTCTGCACTCGGAGGCCGGTTGGGCACTGGAACAGGTGCCTTAGTGAAGTCATCACAGCACAAAGCCTGACAGAGTTCAAGAAGTGTTTGGACAATGCTCTCAGACACATGGTGTGATTCTTAGGGGTGTCTTGGGGATATTCTATTATTCTGTGATTGAACATTTTAGCACCAGGATCATCCCACACACATTCAAACTGCTTTCACTGATCTCAGTTTAAAAGTACACCTTCAGAAAATATAGGCTGAAAATCTCCATGCCAGAGGCTGGGCAGCAAACTTAGCAGAGGCATGACATACTCCAAGTTACAAGAGAAGCTCCTGGTAGACCTAGGACTGCAAACTCCATAGTAGTTTTCTGATGCAACTTTATCACAGGGATAAAAAGCATTATTAGTTGTTGACATTGTTTTATATCATGCCTTCAATTGCCAGAGCAATTCTCTCCCATTTTTCTCTCTTTTTTTGATTTTGAGTCATGTCTTTTGGGCTTCGCTTTGAGCTCCAACATACCCAAATCAATGTGAAGTTCTGCCAAATCTATTCAAGCAGGAACTCTAGGATTGCTTTTTTTTTTCCTTTGCATGATTTAAGTTTTTTTCTAAGTCTGCACAGTTTTGCAGAAGATTTAACCCACATTTTATGCTTCTCAGAAACTGTAGCCAAATTTTCAGTTTGGAAAGAAAATGTGAAACTTCATAAAGAGTGTTCTATTTAATTGCAGGTTTTGTTATAGAAGTACCAGATAAAGCAGTCAAATATCCATCAAAGAGATAAAGATTCTCACAAACTGTCAGCATTTTGTGACATTTCAGTGTTTGCATGATCCCATACTATCTCACATGATCCCATGCTATCTCACATGGCTGAACATAAACTCCTCTCTGCTGTGGCTTTGTTGACACCCCAAAGTCCCCAAAAGGGACTTCTTACTTTGATAGAAGTTGATGTTTATTTTCCACCATAAGCCTTTGCCCTTTACCGATTTTCAGATTTTCCCTCTCTACACAGGGCAGCTACATTCATGAAAGAATTGCCATGGTTTGCAACATGCTGCATTAAACAGTGGTGTTTGGTGTTTAGTGTTTTAGAATATAGTTCAACCTAAGTTGTTATATGAGCAGTTATAGGAACTATCCCTTGTACAGACAACTGAGGGTTTTACAACATACATATTCCTTGTTAATCAAAGCCCCTCTGACAGAACATATTGAGGTGCATCTAGGTGCCCGAAGAGAGAAAAAGCAAAGACAAATAATAAAGTCTGCACATTTTCAGATGGTAGAGTTACTTCTAAGTCACTCATACCCTTAAACCACAGCATAAGAAATAACATGCATCACATACTACTTTAAAAGTTCCAATTTTTCTATTTTGGTATGTTTACCATATTTAACAGCTTGATCCTGCAGTTCTTAAATAAAAATGTGTATCACCATGTAAATGACTCAATGGCTCTCAGTGCGACTGAACAATACCTTGTTCCACAAGAGATGCCACTGAAACCACCAAGACAACTCAAGGAGAAGAATTTGGCTGCAACAATTTAAGGGAAGTTTGTTCTAAACAAGAATTTAACTAGAAAACTCAATTTCTTGCCTTTTTGAAGTAAGTATAGCTGACTTTAGAACTACTCTCAGTTGCACATAAAATTAATTCATAGCTTTGAATTGTTAACGTGGATTTTTGCTCAAGGAATCTTAAAAAAATGCTGAACCTTAAATTTTAATGTACTGAGGGCTCTTTCAAGTGGTCTGAACAGTCCTATTTTCTAACTAGTTTTTTGACATAAACAATTCTAATGAACTTCCTTTTAGGATACTTACAGAGCTGACTGAAGCTATCAAACCTATTAGCAGTTACTTTTGGAAGCTTCTGAAGGACAGCAAAAACATTAAACAATGAAAGATCAAATGCAGTGCCTACCTTTAACAAAGCGGGGGAGAGAGAGAATTGGGAAATTACAAACTAATTAGTTTATCTCAGTTCTGCAAATCTGATAGAGTAAACCTCGTGCTCTAATCAGACTGGCAATGTCTCTTCTGTGTGGGATTCTGCACGTTGCACTTCAAAGGAGATAGGTATCATGGGAAACCAAAGGCAAAGAATGAGAATGATTGAACACCTATAAAGACTGACTACTGAAGAAGAGTTCAGTGTATAGAAGAACGATGTGTTCGCAATCCCCTGAGGCTGCTGCTGGGGAGTCCAGGAGGATAAGCCAAGGAGCAGTGGCCTGCAACAGCAGCAAAAAAATTTCAAATTACCTATTTGGAGCAACTTTCTAGATGTCCTTTCTAGGCCTCCTATGGAGACCAGCAGCTATTTTAAGACTAGGTTAGCAACACACCTATAATGGCCTTGATATATTCAACCTAGGCCAGGGGCAAGGGGAGGATGAGAACATCCTGAGATGGTCCTAATTTTCTGCTATTGTCTTATTTAGAAATCCATTCTTTCCCAGAAATAACTTAAAAAATCAGTAATTTTCCCCTTGAGAATAATTTTTTTATTGTGTTGCATCTCTTTATTTTAATGTAAACCTTAAGTTCCAGTGAAATCACATGCTGTCATGCTCTGCTGTCCTAGGTAAGGCTACACATAGGCTTTGCACTAATAGAACTATTTTTAAAAGATGTGGTGTTCAATCAGATGCCTTGCTTTATCTCCAGGTAAGAACTTTTGGGTCATTCCCTTTCCTGTACAACAGTAATATTCACGTAAACCAATTTTATACTATGGCAATTGTATCCAAATTAAACTGTATTACTGCTATTCATTTAACTGTACATAAAAGACCATAAACCATATATACAAAAGTCAGGAAATACAAGAGTGAGGGCTGCCACTCACTGTATAAAAGTCTTCAGTTACACAATAATATTTTCTGTTTTCTTCCAGAGAAATGTCATCCCAGTTGGGCGACTGCTAACACTCAGGGATTTTAGCAGAACAGTACAGTGAAGGGGATGGCTGATTTTACCTCAGATAAAAATACCAAATCTTCATTTGCGAAGCCTAGCCATGATCACAGTGAAGGGGATGGTTGATTTCACCTCAGATAAAAATACACAGAAAGCTGGATTCCATCTTTTTGACATGTTTCTATTTGACAATGGCAAATCAGTGACACCTTCCTTTCTTAGGTGAGCTCTAATTTCTCGATTCACTGATACCTGATCTGAAGCACTGCAGCTTGGTCTGCAGAAATTTTAAGTGCTCTCACTTGCAACTGGAGTCATTGAGAGATGTGCTTTGAAATGCAAAGTGCCACTTTATGATGAGAACTCTGAAAATTCCAGTTCTCAGTATCTCAAATACAGTAAATAGTTTTGACATGCGTTTAATTTTCTCCTTGGTTTCTAACTTGTCCTAAAGCAAAAAATTACAGCATGTCCCTATAAATGTAGCAGCATTGTGACTTCTACTTGAATATACAAGCTCATGTCTGGATACCTTCAAACAGCAAATTCATATATCATGTGTTAGCTTGTAAATCAGCTTTGCCTAACATCAGACAGAAAAGTAGCGCATGATTCATACTAATGCTCACTAGAATCAAAGTTTAAAACTGAAAACCTATAACTGGAGTTATTCTATTATGTACATGATTGTTGATGCTAGATGGATAAAAAAGCAATTCAGAATGAAGTTGAAATCAAAGAGCTTCTGGCAGACGATGCAACAGCACGTGGCTGTGGCAGCTGTAGTGTGACGGCTGCCTACCTGCATTTCATATGAGTAACAAACCGGTACTTTGTTCCCTCCAGTTGTTTAATTTGGAGGATGACTTCCCATATTTGCCTAAGATGTTGGTTTTCAGTTTTGGTTGCATAAATGGACTAGACTGGAAAATTCGTTTACCTGCAAAACAGTTTCTAGCCCAAAAGAATGAGAGCTCTTGTTATGTACATCTGTTAAATTTGTTTGGTACTACTACTACTATTATTTTTCTAACCAAAACATAAAATTGAACATAAAATTTAAATCACATAGAACTGTAATGTAGATAAACAGTTTCCTCCCCTTCAACTTCCCAATGCCCAAGTCCACCTTCTGTAACTTTTGGTCTCCTGTTTTGTCCATGAGCGTGAGAGCAATAACACTCTAAAGAAAGAGCTGCAGATTTTTCAATTTGATGTCACAGAAGGAAAAGGCTGCTTTGTTGTTAGGCTTTGAAAGTGTAAGCAACTGCCAAGCAGACTGCTCTTAATGGTCATCTTTTATAAATGATGGCAACCATTACATTACAAAGGTTGGTAACTTTTAAATGTTGCACCCTGCTTTATTTGAGCCAGCTCAGCAGACGCAGGCAAAGCACAAGGCAAAGGGCACGGAATAAGAACAGTATCATGCCATTCCCAATGATAGCACTGAGGGTGTCATTTGCTCTTCTGAAGTACTGAAAATAAAAGAGAAAGGAAAATGCTCCATAGCACCACGTCAGGAGTAGAAAATAGCTGCAAATATAAGTGAGAACAAATATTTGGAAAATATTTTGGATAGTTAGCAAAAGTGTTTTAAAAATCCTGATTATCATATCTCTTGTGAGGTAACGGGTACAGTAGTTTTCAGACATGCTCATTCACTTTAAGTAATGGCTACAATAAAATTGAACAGTGCCATGACCATGACATATTTTGTATGAGCTGGAAGCAGAGTTGCTTTGAGTGGTTTACACTGCAGCAAGGGGAAGGCCAGATTAAATGCTGCAAATAGAGAATGGTGCTACAGAAGCTAAAGGCACAGGGATCTGAATCCTATGCTGAGATCATTCACTAAACTGAAGGCCAGGCACACAAAGGTCCCATCATACTGGAGCACAATCAAACATTTGGCCTCATGCTAAAATGATTTGATAGGAAGACCCTACTGCCGTTAGTGAGGGACTTGTGTAGAGTCTAACATACAAGAAGGAAGGCAGAGCCTCTGGCACCTGATTTAGTAGCATGACAAGGAGCAGAAACAACCTAAAAGTTCATGTATTTATGTTTCAATTTGCTTTTTCTTGTTAACTTACTTTTCTGGTTTTAGATCCCTGTAAATAATTCCAAGACCATGGAGATGGTCCAATGCCAAGGCCAGCTCAGCTAAGTAGAACTTGACATCCTCTTCTGTAAACATCACCTAGAGCGAAGGAAGAGAAGAACACATCTGTTTATTGGACAACGGTGGGCTGGCTTGCGTTAAACAGACAGGGGAGGAATCGTCTAACTTGGGAATGCTGGAAGTACCATTATATCAGATTCAATATTCCATAATTTGTCTGTACTCACATTAACAATTCTTACCAGATTCTCCTTATAAAACAAAACTTGATCTGTTAAGTGCTTCTGTTCCTCAAAATATGCTGCTCTTATTTATCTGTTTTATCTGTTTAGATGACATCATGTCACATAATATGAATAAGGTTTTAACTCCTTAGCATTTGGAAACAAATCGCAAAATTAAATACAGTCAGTGCAGTCCTTATTGCTTTCATATCCCTTAATTTGCTAAAATCTTGACATTTGGTTACCAAACTCCCAGGAAACAGCATGGGAAAACCTTTTTCGGGAAGGGAAATGCTTCCAAATCTAAGCAGAATACACAGCATGAAGAGACTTTGAGTTGGATTTAAAACCCCATACACTGAGGGTTCCAGGAATCTCAGTGCAGACACCCTAAGCAGTGATGTGTTGTCTAACATCCAGAGTCTGATGAGGTGTAAACTGAGGGTCGTTTTTTCTATGGTTGATACAGGATACTGCTGAAACTAAAAGCCCTGTTTTAGGCGAAGAAATTTCTGTAATTAAAAAAACACTAAGCTCTGAAAAACTCAGATGGCAAGAAAGCGCTTTGGTTCAGCTTTCATTGTCTCTCAGACTTTCTCTTAAAATTAAATTTCAATATGCACAGAGATAATAATGCAGAAAAAGAAGTTGATATATTGGACACACAAGTGTGAATACTGTGCATGACAGAAGTAAAATGAGTCAGCTCAATACAAATTTACTTATTGTATGTAAATACTACAGTATGTAAATAGTACAGTAGAAGTTGCAGACCTTGATTTTAAAATTAAGTCTCTGCTCTCAGAAAGGGGTAGTCAAAATACTTAAGTGCTCTGAGAAGCTCCAGACAGCTGACAGAAAAAAGAGATGATTCAGAAAACAGATGTCTCACAATTTAATTAAGAATTTCACTGCAAAGGCTAGAAATAAAAATACAAGCAAAATAATAAATACGCAAGCAAAAACCATGACTAAAAATTAAATTGTACTGAATGTAAAAATTGCCTTAATTTTCAAAATAAACTTAAATTATTTATAAGGTTTAAAATAAATTATGTAGTCAAGAAATTAAGTCAATAGAATCAGGGAAAAATCTAATCTATAGAGATACATCTTAAAGTCAGATGTCTCAGAAAGACAGAGCAAGAAATAGGTAAGCTTTGCATGCATGCATGCAATATATACATATATACATATATATATATGGGATCTGACTGAAAGTCCACTGAAATCAATACCATTCAAGCAAATGTATAATAACAAATTGTAAACACTACAAGTTTTCCCAGAACTTCTTCCTTTGCAATTCTTTGCCATTAAATGGCTGCAAAATATAGGTAGACAATGTGAACTACAAACATTGGAAAAAGAGAAGTACATTGGTATTGTATTGGTATAAAGCAGAAAAGTCAGTGAATTGCACTGGCTTTGGGGCAAAAGCTTTGGGGAAAATGTGAAGCTTTAAAGAAGCACAAAGTCTGAGTTGTTATCTTCCACATCTGAGTTCTCTGGTTGTGCAGAACAGGGACCTGCCCTCTGTAGACAAGTGTCACATTTTCTCTCTTTTTCCATGAAACCAGAGAGGCCCTTGCTGAGATGGCAATGTTGCCTCATAATAAAGCCTGGTCTCATGACAAACAGCAGAAGGATATTTTACTGGTTTTTTAATCTTTTTCCTCATATTAAAAATAACTGATACCATGTACTAAGTACTTATATAAGTATCATTACTCAGCAGTGTAATTAACCTGTTGCCAATGTCTTCTTGCATTAGCAAACAAGCCCTGAAAGTAAATACTTGGGGTCCCAAGTTGTGGTGCACACAGCAGCCTGCAGCGTGTCACAGAATCAGGAATTGAAGGGGTGGGGCGGAGCTAGGGAACTTCTGACTAAAATTACTGTTTTCACAGCTTTTTTAGTCCTTCAGTAACTCCCCAAAACCAAGAGCAACAGAGTTTCCCCTCAAGATAGCATTTGAAAGGTCCCTGTCTTTAAAGACCCCTGTTTCCACACCCTGGAAAGTGACCATGGGCTGGGGACATCATGTTTGGGACAGACAACTCTGGGGCAGCCAGCCTGCCTCACTGGAGCCTCCTGCACTGCACACAGGGATGTCTCTTGAGACTGCTGGCTCACAGAGGTGTTTGGAGACGCAGAAAAGAGCTAGATGAACCTAGAAAACCTACCGCAGCTGCTCTGTATGGGCATCAGCGGGACTCAAGTTTGGACCGTTCCCTGGTTGCCGTTTCCTCAAGCAGCAGCAGCCCTTCTCCAGGGGCAGGGCGTGCAGAGGACGGGGAAGGGACGAGAGCCTGGGAAGGTGATGGAAGCAGCAGCTGCTCCTTGCAGGCAGGAGAAGAGCGGGTGAGGCAGCCTCCCAGCCCCGGGGTGGTGTGTGGCCCCTGACCTGCTCTCAGCAGCTGCTCCAAGAGGCAGCTCTCTCACCACTTGCTGCAGTAGCCGGCCCTGACCCATGGCCATCTCTTCTCTCTGCCGGCAGTGTATGTGTTTTTCCACATGCTCTGCTCATACCCGGGGCAAAAGGTATTGGGGATTGATTTCTCAGACTGTTTCTCATCACATCCAAGATTTATTTTGAAAGCAATGTGTCAAGGCTATTTTGCTACAGGAATGGCTTAGCAGTGGTGCAGTTTTCTCTGACAGTGATGTCTAGATGGTATCTGCTGCATTACCCAGGGCATAATTCAAATACAATTTTTAAGAATCCATTTAAACATGCAATATGAGACAGCTTTATTACACATATATAGGACTATTCCCAAGGCCATTTTTCATTCCCATCAGTTCTGAAAATCCAAGACAGTCTTTAATTTCTAAGTTAGAGATCTATCAGCTTACCTCTTTGGAGAGTCTGGTGAAAAGGTCTCCTCCCCGCAGGAAATCTAGTATTAGGTACAACTTTCCCTCTGTTTGAAATGCTGCATTAGAAAAGGATGGAGATGTTGGCAGTTCGAATCAAGATAAAGTCTCCAAAGATTAAGTCTTATGGACTAGCAGTGTATCATTCATGCCATTGCTTCACTGTCATTTCAGGACTTTGAGAATTGAAAAAATTAATTTCTGTACAGAACTAAGCAATTGAGTTTAGGCTTTGAGAAAAATGGTATCAGTTGAGAGACAGCAGTGCATTACTAACATATTCATTTTCCTGCTAAGCACCTATGAATTAATAGTACTTCCCACTGCACCAAGTACCAGGATTCACTGAGGGCTAGGCATAGAAGGAAGCTCCCAGTTTCGTGTGAGATGAGAGCCTGCACTATCCAAATGTCCTCAGAATACCCTTTATAGTAATAATGGGGCTCCCCAGAAAGCTGATGAGGAGGTAACTCCAGCAAGACACCACATTCATATACACACATATATAAAGTGGATTGGTACTGGTTATTGAAAACAGTTTCTATTTAGATTCTCTTCTTTCTAAATGACACCTGACAGCAGGTAAGGGGGTTAGCAGGTGTATATGCAGCAGCTATCCCACGAGCACTACCTATCACATCAGACTTTATGACAAATCTATTTTGGTGGAGGTATGGCTAAAACTTATACTGAAATTATCCTTTAGCATAAATGACGAATTTCACACAAGTTGTCTTTATGACTTCGTTAGAAACAGAGCTGTGAGTAGGCAGGGGGTATCTGTATGAAGTTATAATACATCTGGTTACAATTATCCAACCAAATTAAGAACAAACATGAATTATATTTTATTATAGTTACCATAATGAAGCTTGACTATGAAGGGATGGTTCACTTCTGCCAAAATATCTCTCTCCATTTTTGATCGTACCCGATCTCGAACTATAAAGAGGGAACAACAAGAACGGTGACATTAAGAGGCAGCATGGTCACTAGATACAGTACTGAAATGAGGTTACAGTGATCAGGGTTCTGCTTCTCACTCTGCTGATGGCTTGTGGTGTGACCTTTGGCAAATCATACTACTTGAGCGTCCTCTTTTTCTGCCTGTCTTGACTGTGTAGTAAGAGTAGGTTCTTCAGGAAGGCTCCCTATCTTCCTCTGTAGAAAACTGCCCTAACTAAAAGGACTACAGAATGACAAACAACAGAAAGGCAATTACACTTCACAGAAGAGAATTTTAATGTGAAAATGAAAACTATATAAAATTAATAACTTTATTTCATGTAAGATTAAACAGAATGTACCAGTCCCAGAGCAAGTTGGATTAATCTTGTGCAAATTAATTTACTGTATTTTGCTGATGCTAGCAGTGTTTATGACATATCACTCTCTGGAATTGATCTATATGCGAAATATTTAAAACTTCCAATAAACCACCCTAACAATCATTAATAAGAAAAAATGGCAAACAAAAATAGTAGATAACTATTTTTTTAATGTGTGTGTAGAGATAAATTTATTGTATGATAGCAGCGAGAAAAATACTTTTTGGGGTTAAGATCAGTAGAGTAAGAGAAATCATTGTTACAGAGGTGAGCTGAGTTCAAGCTAAACAAAACTGATGCTGAAAATTTCAAAGCAAAAACATTTAGCAAAATGTTTAGACACTGATGAGGATTCAAGTCCCAACATTATCAAATCTTGATCTTAAAGATGCATTTTTTAGTCAATCACTGTTTTACTGAAAGTATTGAAATTTTCCTCTTTCTCTGCATTACACAATGCCAATATGCTTTTCAGATGAAAGCATCTACAAGAGATGTCATGAAACTATTTTATGTAGCAAAGCCTGAGATCTCAGTGAGATTCTCTCACTGCATGCATGTGTTGTTGAGCTGCTTAGAAGCTGAGTCCTCCCAGCACACCAGTAATGAACACACCATAATGAAACCACATAGTCTGTTGCTGTACTTCAAAAACTGATGCACAGAAATAGGTCCAAACCAGCTGATCTGAAAACCTTAAACAGGACTAGAGAGATACTTGGATTTCTTGCCATTTTGATGCTAAATTTAGGTCAATAGTGATGTAAGGTTTACTAGTTCATTCAACCCAAGCTACCTTCTAGATAAAATTCAAAACAAAGGAGATCTTAGAATCTTAATCTTATCTCCCAAGTGAAAATCACACATCATACACTCACAAAATGCTTAACCTATGTGAAGGCAGACCATTTCTTACGTAGTATAGAATACTGTGTATTCTATAGCCTTCCATGCCATTTCCCAGAAACTGTTGTCAATAGACTATTTGCACCCTCTGCCCAGAGCAGCCTGACTCATCAGGCTATAAACTAGGTGTTAAGAGGCCTGCGAGATAGAAAGGTGTTTTTGTCCTCACGCCCATTGAGGAATCTCCCGCCCTGAGGGAAGTACTGAGCATTCCTTCCAGAACTGGAGAATATATAATCTTGGAATCTTGGGACTTTTTTAACCACTCGTGGGATCCAGAGGAAGACTACAGATCACCTCTCTCGACCAGACTGCAGATCACCTCTCTCGACCGGACTGCAACCACCACTTTTCAACCAGACTGCAACAGCACTCTCACCAACAGGTTTTCCCCTCTCCTTTTACTTTGGACTCAGGGGGCCCAATGAACACCACTCTGTTCATGCCCCAGGGTGCTGGGTTATACATTGGGGTTTTGTGGGTTAAAACCAATTGTATGTCTGTATAATCGTACTTACTGTATTATTTTATTAAATTGTTATTCTGACTTATAGTCTCTCTTTTGAGTTGAGTTCATTTCCCCTGCTGATTTACCTTTAAACCAGCACAACTGCCTTGGCTAAGGGCACTGGGCTGCCAAACAGACTTGACAAAGTCCTCAGTGCAATGAAACTTGTCTTGGGCTTTCCTATGGGAGGAACCACAGGGCAGTGCATCAGTGGTAAGAGACAAGAGCCAAGACATATGTCTATCAGAAAGACCAGCACAGAGAAAAGGAGCAGGTCTGCCTCCATCCTGTCTGTTCTAAGGACCAGCAGCAGGGCAGGGAGGCAGTGACTTGGGGCTGTCCAGCTCTGCCTGCCCACACAGAAGGTGCAGAGATGTACGTGATATATTCCAACTTCCTCCATAGATGTTGAACTTGAGTGTTGCTCTCACCTCTGTTCACCAGTACAGGAAGGCAAAGTGTCATAGGTGAAATACTTTCTGTACACATTAGCTGAGGTCCAGCACAATCTGCTTTGCTCATGACTGCAGTCATTTGTGTGTTCAGGCCCTGTGAATGTCTCTGACTTATTAATGCAGCCTTGCAAATGCAAGCAAAGTACTTGTATGCTCCTGTACACCTCTAGAAATAATTAAATGACTTCTAGCCTAAACACTCGTTTTAAAAAAGGAGATTGAGATAGATTTTGGGAGCTCTGCAAGGCATCTAAAACTGAAGAGAGTTCTAACACTTATCAATAGCTCTGAGATAACTTAATTTTTTAAGTTGGTGTTAGATGCATAGTTCCTTTTATAAATCTAGTTCTGTCATGAATATTTGCTGGGTGCATTGAGGTACAGGAGCCTGGTCCCTCCCCAGAGTCTTCTGGAGGTGGTTCAGGGCAGGACCTGGTGATTTGGTTACCTCTCTGAGTGGGTCAGTCTTTGTCCACTGTTTTTGGAGACAATCTTCTTGGTCTAAAATTGGCACTTGGAAGCTTAATTTTTATTTATTTTTTAAACTAGGAATGGGTTGTCAGATGATAGGTTTGGTGTCTTAGTGACTTGCTCATATGGCCTTTTTTCCTTTTTGACAATTTTAACCAAAGTACTACTGAGTCCCTTGACCTGAAATATCAGGGAGAGAAATCCCCCTGCATGTCTGACACAAGCACCTGCCACTTACAGAAAGCTATTCCTGCAGGAAGATGCACACAGAAAATACACAAATAAGGTCAAAGATTTTGCAATTCCCTCAGCGATGTTTGGCAAAAAGCATTATTGATTATAAATTATTTGCCCATCCCTACCTTTCAAAATGACCTTTTAATAAGAAATATCACTGCTTAACCGGGAGCGGAACACTAATTAATTAATAAAGCAAGAACAGGGAGAGCTACAAACTAAGTTACTTAATTAAATCACCATCGAAAAGTATCGGTAACAGGAGAAATAAACCAGCAAATTAAATGATGGCTTTAAATTTCATCCACTATGCTCCTCACTTCCTTAAAACTCAGTACTGTGCCTCGAGTGAAACAAAAGCAAAATATGACTAAAGTTCAGGAACATGCAACCCAATTTTAAATTCTTCATGTAGCACTGGAGCACACAAAAGATAAAGAAAATGGAATATATATATATATATATATATATATATAACTATGTGCAACATCCTTTTCAATTCTATTTCTGATATTTTAATTTGGTTTTTAATGCTGGCTGTTATAGATGAAAGCAGAGAGCTAAATTCTAAATTCAAATTCACACTATGTCCAGAAGACAGAGTACTTGTGTGGTGACTAATTATGTGAGATATGGAAAAATATAGGCTTTCCAAAAATGATCAGAGTCTGGCTTCAATGGTTCTGCTTGGAAATACCATTTGCATTACTGTGTTTTTGTTCCACACAGTAATAAACTCAAATTCTCTAAAGAGCAGCCTTTCATGTTGTACCTTCATCAGCGGAGCATTACTACAACACAAAGGAAAACAGAAAGGTGTCCTGTTGACATCTGAATGTAGAAGTACACTGATAATGTCACAAAGGGACTTTATGTACTTTTCTTTTGAAATGCATATAATTTTGTGAAAGTTATCTTCTGGAAGAAAGATCCTCTGTGACCTGAAATACAGAACCTTTTAGAGATGGGGAAAGAGCCATTAAAACCAGAGCTTTACCACTCAGCCCTAGCATTGCTGCAGTAAAGATAAAAAAACACATCGACAGAACAGGAGACATTCCTTTGTAGAAGGACACTCTGAAAAATCAGTAAGGATGTAGATTTGGTTTTAGGAGTCCAGGGTCTGGAGCAGGTCATTTTATCTCCCCCTTCTTTTTTTTTTTTTTTCTTTTCTCTTCCCTTTTACACAAAACAACACATTTGGCTTTAAAGATATTAAAGACTTTCCTTTGTTCGTATTTTAAGGTAGCCTGGATGTTTCAACGTTGAGATTTGGAATGACAGATGTCTCTAAATCAATACTAAACTTTAGTATTAAACTTCCATTTATACTCTTTATCACCTATTCATTATTCTCTCTAAATGTTTGGAAAAGTTAATTAAATCTTGCAATATCCCTCTGAAGTACTTCTGCTCAATTTTCCGACATGGAGAATTAAAGAACAGATTGATGAAGTCTAATGGTACATTAAAAAAAAATAAAAATAAAAATCATATCGGAGTTGTCAGGAGCAAACATGGGTTCTAGGACGTTCTAACTCAGCTGAAAACAAATCCTCAGAGCAAAAAAACCTGAGCACCTCCCACGTTTTCCTGATACCCTTGCCCAGCACGCAGTAGCCTGGTGGGCGAGGAATGCTGCTTGGTGGCCTCCTTTCTGCCCCATGGAGCCTCTGGCAGCTGCTGTTTCTTCACTGGGACACCAATTTGGAACTCTCTCCTTGTTCATAAAAACCCACAGACGCTGCAGGAGATTAAGTTTGTTTTAGATTTTTGGCTGAAATTTGCTGGTGGGTTCAACCCCATCATTAGAGGAATACTGACCAAAAGACCAGTCAGATGATCACATGAATCTCATGTCCTTATGCAGAGGTGAAATTTCAATTTTTGTGCATTTTTAAGCAGGACTGGATCAACTGAATATACACAGATGTGCTTACACATAGATCCCAGATGAAACCATGCCTCCCCAAGGCCTGGAAGCTGCAGATGTGCAATGATATCCAGTAAGCCAAATCCTATGGTGATATACAACAC